TCCAATAGTTCAAACACAAGTCATCATCTCTGCCATGAATATGATCCTTTTCTGTGCAAGCGAATGTGTCAGAAAGTGCTTCACATTCTCCCTTTTCTGCAAATGCATATATGCTTATTACGTGATATCGTTTAAGCTTCATCGTGCTGACGATGAATACTATAAAAAAGCAAACCCTAGACTGTCACACACCCTTATCGAGAAGAAATTTTTCAGTAGGGAAATGTCAGAGAAATCAACTATTAAGATTAAATTTGTAATAGGTTATTAATGGTTGAATTATTACTTAATGTTGATTAATATGTTTATTTTTATTAGTGACGCATTATATGGGCTTTATAATTGCGTTTTCAAAATTTCCTAAATCTCTAATTTTTTAGCAAAATTTCAAATAATTTTGATTTTGCTTCAATTCATTCGTGTGCTTCAATAATATGCTTAAGTTAAATAAAACTCACAAGGCAAATAGCTTTTGTTTCAAAGTTAACTGGAGCACTGTGCTCTCTCGCCTACATCTAAATTCAAATCTTCCTCTCCATATTTCAAAGTAATTCCGTAGCCAAGTTTGACATAACGAAATGATTAATTTAATTAAATGAAACCCATATATAAAGCATATAGTCGAAGAGCAAGAGTGTAGAGAAGCATTATTTGAGAATACAAACTAAAATGGAGGTAGATCAGCAAGTTCTTCACATGAATGGAGGAGTTGGGAAAACAAGCTATGCAACCAACTCTCTACTTCAAAGAGCTGCGATTTCAATGGTGAAGCCCATTAAGGCAAGCATAGAGCAGCTTTGTAGCAAACTCTCCTCTGACTGTTTGAAAATAGCAGACTTCGGTTGGGATGCTCTTCCGGACCCAACACCCTTCTGGTGGTATCAGATATCATACACAACATCCATGCCACTTCCGAAAACTGAACCGTCCATCTCCTTCACTCCAAGCCTTCTTGAATGATCTTCCCGGAAACGTTTTCAACACTCTGTTCAGGTCATTGCCAGGGTTCTAAAAGAAACTTGAGGAAGAACAGTTAGGGCCATGTTTCATTACTGCAATGCCTGGTTCTTTCTATGGCAGGCTCTTTCCAAACAATTCTCTCCACTTTGTTCACTCTAGTTATGGCCTTCTGTGGATCTCTCAGGCTTTGGAGGTTTGATAACCAAGGAAGGAGAGGGACTAAACAAGAAGAACATATACATAGCGAAAACAAGCCCACCTGCTGTGTATAAGCAGTACTTGGAGCAATTCAAAAAGGACTTCAGAGTGTTTTTGAGATCACAAGCAGAAGAGCTGGTTCCCGGACGAAGTATGGTCATCACAACATTGGGGAGCACAAAGAGCCATGATCCACTTAGCATTTGGGAAGTTGTCGGACTCAAACTCAATAATATGGTTTTAGAGGGTTTGATTGAGGAGGAAAAATTGGACACATTCAATATGCCATTGTATTTTCCTACAACAAAGGAGGCTGAAGATGTCATCGAGGAGGAAGGATTTTTTACTTTGCAAAGCCTTGAAGTTTTCAAAAATGATTGGGACTCCTATATAAAGCATGCTGACAGTGGCCTCGATAAAAAGGCAAGGGCTGCCGTACTTGCCACTGAGATAAGGGCTGTGGTAGAGCCTCTTCTGGCAACCCAATTCGGAGAAGTGGCTATGGACGATTTGTTTCGCAGGTTTGAAGAAGATGTCCTTGATCACATGGAAATGGAGAATTGACAGTTCATTGACCTGGTTATCTCGTTGACAAAGAAGCGTTGAATAAGGTGAATATGCAAGAAATGAGAACAAGATTTAGGTTACATTGTTCTTTTTATTTTGTACTTCATTATAAGAAATAAATTTGCTTACTGTTAACTATTGCAGAAGATCAGCAACTTTTCAGTAAAACGAGGAAGATGAACTGAAGAAAAAGAGACATATAGAAGAAGATGACCATTTCATCCGCGAGGTGGTTATTGCTTCTCTTATTCTAGTTTGGTTTGTTGGCTCAACGTTTCAAATTGCAGATGCATTTACAAACAAAATAATAAAAATAAATAAATAAATATAAAGCATATAGTCTTTTACGTCAAAATAATGTGGCTACCAAATTAAATCCGGTCTTTATCATCTCAACAAAATGTGGTTACCATATGCTCGTGGGGAAAAGAAAACTAATGAAACTAGATTCATCAATTCGACTTCGATGAATTAACACAATATTGAATGGAAAACGAACAATCCAAATTGGATGGTTCAAAAGGGAAGGCTCTAGGAAATAACTAAAAAAAGAAGAAGAATACAAAGATGAAGTAGAAGTAGAACACACGGCTTGGGTTGTATAATGGAAGTTGTCTGTTGCATGATTTTGCTTTGTTTTTGTCTGAAGAAGATAACTAATTAGTGCTTAAATGTCGGTTTTGTATCACATGGGGTGTCTCACTGCTGGTGTGATATTATTCCTGAAACATATTGAGGTTTTGGTAGGCACATATATGCAGTTAAAACTTAAAATAGACAGTTTAACGTATTGTTGTAAGATGCAAAGGAGAGTCGAGAAAGGTTTGAGGTTGTTGGCATTCCTTAACTTAAAAAGTATTTACTATTGAATGATTAGAATCTTATTTGTTATAACAAGCAATTTTTCTCGTTGGCATATATCAAAATGCAATTTGGTGTAAAAAAGGATAAGTTATTATCCAAAATAATAATAATTTTATCTGTCAAACTATGATTTGTTTGCCAAAATAAAAATAATTCAATAAATTATCAAATCAATCATAATCAATTATGCAGGAAATTCTTGTGGTGGGAGAGGTGTGTTTTGTAGATAAACATTAGACAAGGGTTTGGTCCACGCCAACAAAATTTCCAAATACAAATTAGAATGTTAAACGAGAGGAATAGGAAAAGTTAGATGCTTGCTATCTGTTCTTTAAGGATAGGGTTCGTAACTTAATTATAACACCCCATGTTGGTAGTTATTCTTTTTCCATGTGACATGTTTTTGTGTACCCAATTAGACTTGACCACTAGCCTAATGTGGTTAAAGAGTTTAATGTGATTTGGTGATTAGTACTTAATAGTAGATTTGTGTAGAAAATACACAGATCCATGCATTTGTCAAAACTCGAGATGCTACTATCTTAATATTTTAAATCAATCATATATTGTGTTTAACTTTATCACATAACAATGCATTATTAGCTTGCATATCATATCCCAAGGCAAGACATTCCCATTAGGCCAAGAACAAGTTCATTCTAATTCTAACGTCAAAATTGCTTCTACAGGATCCTGACTTTTGGGACTATACACTCACTTGGAAGCAAGGTTTCTTATGCTCCTGCAGGCCATGTGAGTCTGTGACTTTGTGAAAGTGTGAAAGGATAAAAAGGCTCAAGCCACAAAGTAAATTAAGGGTCCACAAACCATCAATGAGGATCAACAAGTCTTATGGTAGTTTGAGTACAAATCTCAATTGCTCATGACTTCACAAAACACATGTACTAGAGATGACACATGTCATCCTCTCAATGTACACAAGGTGCACAGATCCCCAATAGGACAGTTTATATGCACTTTGATGACACCATATCTTAGAGGCCATGATTTATATTGGCTTCAATAACTGCTTGAGCTGGCATCACATCCAGCAAATATTAGAGGAGAAATGTGTCAAATAACTCAATTTAATGAGTCATCTAACTCTTTTTTTTTTTTTTAATGTGAAAAGTTTAAGCATTATGAGTTGAGTGAATGGTCGAATGTATGTTTATTGGGTTGAATAAATTAATGGTCGAACATAAATGTAAATTGGTTTGAAATGATCAAATAGTTTAACATTAGCTAGGTTCAACAATAAAAAAAAGTTGATCACTGATCAAACGAAGTCATTTAATGTAATTCCCTAATTAAATGACTAATATGGTTGAAATATGCAGGTTCAATATGTTTACATAACGTTTATGTGTAAAACGCTATGGTTATTCCTTTCTTCCTATATATACAATATTTTGCTACTTCATCCCTTATTGCAGATGTTCAAAAGCCCATATTCCAGACTGTAAGAAACAAAAACAAGCAGGAAAAAGGAACCAAAAGAGATCAAAGAAAGAAAAGGGACCAATATGCCAGTTTGTCTTGGAAAAGTATGTGTGAGAATCCTATTGATTACATAAATATATCAGTTAATTAACGTGTGTAAGTTCAGAAAGGTCTTGTATGGACTTCTAATATCTTTCATTTGATTAGTTCAACTACTAAATCCTAACCACTGTTCAACCTCAATAACTTTATAGCTTGTGCTTACTCAAAAGGGCAATTATGATTATTAAAATAATCAAGTTTCTCTACTTTACTTTGAACAGTGTTTGGCTCCTTACACGTAAAGTGACCTACATTACCTTGAACACTATTTGATTTCTTACATGTAAGGAGGATATACTTACATGTAAGGGATTATTCATTCTTACATGTACATTACAGTTGTAAGAAAAAAATTTGAACGTGTATTAATTGTAATTTATCTACAATAAATAATGACTCATTACACATAAGTAATCGAGTATTTCACATTCGCTTCACCTCACCAAAAAAAATTTGAGAGAGAGAATGAGAGATTCCCTCCAGCTAAAAAGAGGGTATCAATAATTGGTCTTTTACTTGCATTGTTACCTTCCTTATCCACCACTCAAGCTTTAAGCTCTGGCATATCAGAAGAATATATCCAAACATCTTCTGTAAAGTTGGAAGAGGAGGGAAGTCCTAAGTGAAAAAAAAATGGTGGCTTCAGCACATAATCCCATAATCCTCCCACCCAACAAATCCCCATTTTAATTTCAATTTGATTCTCTCCCTATGCAAGAACAACATAAACAAATTATATTATTAACAATAATTAACAGCAAATAATCCCAAATTGCCAAGTAAGTAGGCAGGCCCCAACCTCCCCATGTTACACAACCTCCCCTTTACCTGTCCCCACTTCCTCTCCATTTATAAAATCCCCATTCCCTCCCTTTCCCCTTCCTTCACTCCCACACCACCTCCTCCATTGATCTCTTCCCTTCTGCACATTCTTGAGCTATTTTTCCTAAAAACCCTAGTTTTTGGCCTTCTTCTCTATTAATTGCTAAACCTACCCAGCAGCCAACACACATAGAGATTTGCATACCCAAACACAAAATATATACATATAACATAAGAAATATGTGCAGCTCAAAGGCCAAGGTGACCTTAGGGATTGAAGTCGCACCCATTGTGGCTGGAATCAATGGCAGGCCAGTCCTTCAGCCTAATTGCAACCGGGTTCCTAGCCTAGACCGGCGTGGTTCGATTAAGAAAATATCGACACCATCACCACCTCCACTACCATTGCCAACTTCTTCTGCAAGTATTACTAGTCCTAGAACTACCAACAAGGCAGCTTCATCTTTGTTAACACCTCCCATTTCTCCCAAGTCAAAGTCCCCAAGGCCACCAGCAATCAAGAGAGGAAATGACCCTAATGGCCTTAATTCGAGTTCCGAAAAAGTTGTCACACCAGGAGGAACCACAAGAGCTAAGATTTTGGAGAGGAAGAAGTCCAAGAGTTTCAAGCGCGCTAGCGTTGGTGTTGATGTTGATGCTGCTGATCATAATCATGGAGGTTTTGGTAATGGTGGATTCTCTGCTTCTAATATCGAGGCCTCGTTGAGTTATTCCTCTTCCTTGATCACCGAGGCACCTGGCAGCATTGCTGCTGGCAGGAGGGAACAGATGGCGCTTCAGCATGCACAACGGAAGATGAAGATTGCCCATTACGGCAGGTCAAAGTCTGCCAACCTTGAAAGGGTTGTTCCTGTTGATGCTTCTGGTAATGTAGAAGCCAAGGCAGCTGAAGAAGAGAAAAGGTGCAGCTTTATCACGGCTAATTCAGGTAATTTATAATCCTTAAATTATTATTGGACTCAATCTGTGAAATGAAAATGATAAATAATGTTCCTAATTAACTGATTATTAATTGTTTTATTTTAATTTTATCTTTATCCTCAGATCCCATCTATGTTGCTTACCATGATGAAGAATGGGGAGTTCCTGTCCATGATGACAAGTAAGTCCAATTGTTCCTCTGATAATAACTGATCAAGAAAAAATAGGATGAATATCAGACTGATAAGTAGTCATTATTTTCCTTTTTACTCATTTGGATTCAATTTATTCATGTTGCAGGATGTTGTTCGAACTGCTTGTGTTAACTGGAGCTCAAGTTGGCTCAGATTGGACTTCCATTTTGAAAAAACGTCAAGATTTCAGGTGAGTCCTTGTTGTCATGCAATTTGTTACCAACAAAAATTAACGGGCGTATACAACGTTGTTCTCACAATAATTGACCATGTAACAAGTTATGATGAATGCAGAACTGATGATGTAGTCATTTGTCTTTTTTTTTTTACTATCATGCTTCTTCTCATTAGGTAGATGGGATCAAACAGTATGTTTCTGAAAAACTGCCTTTTTATTATATATGTTCCACCTCTGCAGGGATGCATTTTCAGGATTTGATGCAGAAACTGTGGCAAATTTAAGTGACAAACAGATGATGTCAATTGCTTCAGAATATGGCATTGAAATCAGCAGGATCCGAGGGGTTGTAGACAACTCTAACAGAATTCTTGAGGTAAAAATACTAAGCATCAAAATCTGCAATTTCTTGCTTTTTGTCCTCTTAACAAATCTTTTCCATCTAATCTGTCCCCTTCTTTTAAGGACCATTTTTTTTTCCTGATCAATGATCACGCCTTCTTTTTAAGGACATGTTAAAGAACATTTTCATTCGTTTAAGAAAACCCATGAAAATAATGTAATGTTATAAAGAGAATATTGACTTGACCATCATTTACATCTTAATCTTTAATTCTTTTTGAGTTAAAGCATAATCTATGATTCTTTTCTTCCATTGTTTGGTGAAAAGCTTGACTGGTGCGGTATTCCAGCTGTTGTGCATGATGTTTGCAATATATAACTACAATAAAGAATTATTATTGACGTTTTAAATAATTATATGTAATCATCTTTCAGTGTAGGGTATTAGTTTGGAACGTTAGTAACAACTTTTTCTACAAATATTATATAATATATATCTCCTTTTCTTTTAACACTTGGAAAAGCTAATATGGCTTAGTTTAGTAGTAGTAGTACTTAAGTGTTGTATTTATACTAATGAACTCAATTTTTTTTAAAAATACTTGCAGATTAAGAAGGAATTTGGATCATTTGACAAGTACATCTGGGGATTTGTCAATGAAAAGCCCATCTCACCACAATATAAATTAGGCTACAAAATCCCAGTGAAGACATCCAAATCAGAGTCGATCAGCAGAGACATGGTTAGGAGGGGATTTAGGTTTGTGGGTCCAACAGTTGTTCATTCATTCATGCAAGCCTCAGGCCTCACGAACGACCATCTGATCACTTGCCACAGCCACCTCCGATGCACCTTATTGGCTGCCTGCCGTCCCACATTGGAAGATATTCTGTAGAATTATTGACATCAAAGAGAGAAAAAGAAGAAGAAAATCATGGACAAAATTATAAACCCTAATGCGTTCGATGATTAATATGTTAGAGAAGTGTGTGCATATAGTTTGCTAACTATATCGAAGAAAAAAAAAATAGTAGTTACTTGTGATGGTTGTGAATTGTGTCTACAATGTAGATTAGAGGAAAGGTTTGTGATTAAATATGTGAGATTTTAGTTAGGGTGTCGAAAGTGCATCAACAGTCAAGATTCACGATTAGTATCGAGAATCCATCATTAATGGTTCAGATTCGCATGCTTAGACAACTGATTTTAGTATTCATAATTTCTTTTAATTAATGGGTTTGAAGTAGGCAGAAGTGATTGATAATTGGAGATAAAAGAAAGGTTTGGGATGGAGGGTGGTGGTGTAGTGGGAGCTGAAGGAGGAGACATCATGTGCATATGCATTTGGGAGGCAAGGCATGTGTTGGATGTGTCAGTTTTTTGCTTTTTATTTCCATGTGACCCATCAAACTTTGAATGATTTGAATTCCTTTAACAGGCTGTGTGGGATACTACCATCATGTGTATCTCTCAATTGCTCTGGTAATTGAGTTATTAGTGTATTTTTCTAACTCCTTTTTTTTGCTTTGGGGGAATATTATACCCCATTGTATTCTTGGATTTGATGTGTGAGGTTTTGAGTGCTTTTTTTTTTTTTGAATCGATTGGGATGTACTTCTGTTCTGATTGCTGACTAGTGACTAATAATATATACACCTTTTTAAAATAGTTTTTTTTTTTCAAATAGAAAAAGATTAGGCAAGATCATCACTTTATCAACGGTCTTGTGCGAGACACCTACCTTTCTTTGAAAGGGAGGACGATTACATCCAGAAACTCTCTGCCTTCCTGCCCACCAAAGGGGAGAGGACTTTTTAAAAATGTTTATTTACTAAATAAGTTAGGTATCTTCTTCTTTGTGTTAATTTTCGAAAAGGTTTGCTTGACATTTTGAAGGGCACTCTGGACATGGGATGGCTTGAATAAGAATGGGTGTTCAAGTGCAATAATTGAGAGGATAGGAAGTGGTATTTATGTTTGGACAAAGTAGAGGGCTTCACATGATTAGTGTTGACAATGGAATTATACAATGGACCTTAATATTTTGTATTCTTACTTTTATTATTTGAAGTTAGACTAGTAAGAGTGAGAAAAATGGTTTGAATGCAAATTGAAATGAGTTAGAGAAGAATACTCTATTCACCAAGGCAATTTAGAACTTGTAAATTTTGTATTTAAGTGAAAAATTATGTTATTCATAGTATGTGCTAAATGTTCAAGTGAATCAACGTAGACCTTCTCTATTTCTAATGAAACTTGTAAAATATGGAAAAAAAAAAGTGAAGGAAGGAGGACAAGCAATTTGTAAGCAAAAACCACCATGCGTAATGCGTACTGAAGTTTTGGTTAAAGGAAAAAATATAAAAGAAAGTAACTAAATTCTTATTTCTTTAAAAGAGTATCTCCAACGAACCTGTTAAAATAAAAATACTTCCAGAGTCATTATTTATTGGTTGCAAAGAAAAGGAGCATGCTATTCTCAAAGTTTAACCTATGCGGGGTGCAAAACCCCTAGGTTATGTTTGGTAGGCTGGTTGGAATAGGTTGTGACCAATTCAAATGGACTTGAGTCCAATTCTTTGTTTGTGTGTCAAAATATGAAATAAACATGATTAAACATAATGAGTTATGAATCTATAATAAAATGAGTTATATAATCTATCCTTATACATGAATTATAAGTCATATCTTACAAATATATGCCAACCTGATTTTATCTAAGGCCTAATCATATCCAGCCCACCAAACAAGCCTCTAAGTCTTGCTAATTTTCTTATGGCAGAGGTAGAAACTCTTTCCACTTAAATAATAAAGGGAATATTTTTACTCATCACCCTCAAGTGATGGTGATGCTCACCACTCTCAAGTGATGATGATGCTCACCACCTTATTTATCACTGTTGGATAAATATAAATTTTGAGATCTATGTAGTGAATAGACACAAATTTTAAAATTTAAATCTATCCAATAATAATATGTAGGGTAGTGAGCATTACCATAATTTGAAGGAGTTGCGCAAAAAAGCACTCAATAAAAAGAGCCACATGCCAATTTACCATGCGCTTAGGGCCACGTTTTAGAATTTGGCACGAGTGTGCTTATGCAAGAATGCAAGTGCAAGTGAAACCAAGGTTTGATATGCCTAGCTAGTCGAGGAGTGTTATAATTTTTTTTAAAATTCTGATTAAGTACACATAAAATATCATATCTCATTTAGAATCTTGATTAAACACTATAATTTTTTAAATAATTTAAAATTTTAATTGAAATTAATAGAATGACAACAAAAATTGTAATTACGCATATCTTTTTTTCTTCCTCTAACCTGAGACTTCTCATACACATATAGAGAAGAATATTATTAAACCGTAATACTAAATGACTTAATTACGCATATATTGAAAACAAAAAAACAAAATAAAAGACAAAGACCACATGTATGAGTGAAAACAAACTCCATGTTGGGCCTTCTAGCCCAGGTTATATTCTTGCCCAGGCAAGAAGGAGCCAGGCCAGATCCCGAGTTGTAATAACAGATTTTGCAGGGCTGAACAGGATTAACAAAAAGCCCGGATCTTCTTCTCCAATAACCGAACCAGCCCAGGGCCGGTCCGCCGGAGGGGCCTGTAGGAAAAAATCTGAACCGCCCATATTTCCAGGACTCTCTACTCTCTCTCTCTCTCTCCCCTTCAAATTAATTCCATCGTCACTTTCCCTCTCTCTCCCAATCTCTCCTCCCATTTGTCCCCTTCTCTCCATTTTCCTATGAACTCTGATCGATCCTTCCAAAAGTAGGGCACACCACAAAACCAAACTCCCACCTGATACACCGAAACGATGCCGCTTTTCGTCTCCGACGAGGACTTCTCCCGCCACGGCAACGACGCCGTTTGGGTGGCGGACAAGGCCGACGCCTATATTCGGGACCTGCAGAGGGAGCTAGAGACCGTCAAGGCCCAGAACGACGCTGCTTCCATCACGGCCGAGCAGACCTGCTCCCTCCTCGAGCAGAAGTATCTCTCCATCTCCGAAGAATTCTCCAAGCTCGAGTCTCAATACGCCCAGCTTCAGTCCTCCCTCGACAGCCGCCTCTCTGAGGTCGCCGAGCTCCAGTCCCAGAAGCACCAGCTCCATCTCCAATCCGTACGAAGCTCGATTTTGCTTTCAGTTGTTTTTTCTATTCTGTTGCTTTCTGTTTTAGGGTTTGCATGACCAAATGATCGCGTTTTTTAATGCTTTTGAGTAGGTTACTATAGTTATAGCCCACAATTCTATGCTTGTTGGGTTTTCGTTTTCGGTTTTTGTACTTATGAATATATTTTGATCTTGGTGTATTGATGTGTTTGGTCGTGCGTTCCTGTGTGTGCAGATTGGGAAGGATGGGGAGATAGAGAGGATTAAGGCGGAGGTGTCGGAATTGCACAAATCGAAGAGGCAGTTGATAGAGTTGGTGGAGCAGAAGGACTTGGAGATTAGTGAAAAGAATGCCACCATCAAGTCTTATATCGACAGGATTGTAAGCTTTCTTGCATTTTCCCATTTAGCATTTACAAGGTGAAAGCTGAAACCATATCTGCCATACATTTAGTGACATTTTCACATCCTTTTTATTGATTCTGAAGGTATTAACTTCTGACAATGCCGCTCAAAGGGAGGCTCGTTTGAGCGAAGCCGAGGCAGAATTAGCACGCACCAAGGCTGCATGTACTCGTCTATCACAGGTCAATCCTAAGTAAAATTTATTTATGGTTCACGTAAAAAAATTGAATCTTATTTTTAGTTCGCCATTCCACTATCTCTTATGCTGCTACATTTTAGTTAGATAGTTGCTCATCATTGGAAAATAATGTTAAAGGTGGTGGCTAAGTTGGTCAAGACTAAGTAGTAGGTCCCTTCTATCTTTCGATATCTTCTGAAGCATATATGTGTTTACCATGGAAAATCTTATAATTTACAGGAGAAAGAACTTATTGAAAGGCATAATGTCTGGCTTAATGACGAGTTAACAGAGAAAGTTGACAGTCTCATTCGGCTTCGTAGAACGCATGCTGATGTTGAGGCAGATTTGTCTTCTAAACTTGCAGATGTAAGTGTATTTCTGACTATGACATTAGATTCTCTATGTTTTATATGGGCATATATAAAGCATAATGTTGAGGCAGATTTGTTTCATACAGACAGGGCATATGTCTTAGTAAGCATGCCTATACACATACATTTTTGTATTTACTTCTTTGTGAATGTACTTGATTTTTAATATCTTTAGGTTGAGAGACAATTCAATGATTGCTCTAGCTCTTTAAAATGGAACAAGCAAAGAGTGAGTGAATTAGAAGCCAAGCTAACGTCTTTACAGGAGGTGGGGATACATTCCATTTGGTGTTCTAAAATATGTTTCATGTGACTCTTTAGTTATGTCTGAACTGATTTGTTCATACTTATTTCACACTTGTAGGAGCTACACTCATCTAAAGATGCTGCTGCAGCCAATGAAGAGCGATTAACTGCTGAACTCTCAACAGTGAGTTCCTTGAAATGTCTTTTATATTAAAATTTATTTTATTTAGCCATATGTTCGACTTGGTGCGATGGCAAGTGCCTTCGCCCATGAGCGGTAGGTCTCGGGTTCGAGACTTGGGAGCAGCCTCTCCATAAATGGGGGTAAGGCTAGCCGACATTCACCTCTCCCAGACCCTGCGTAAAGCGGGAGCCTTGTACACTGGGTACGACCTTTTAGCCATATGTTCGACTGGAGACGATGTGAATTGAGTTTTATATGTTATTAGTTAATAAAGCATTGGTAACTTGTTTTCTTCTTTGATAATGTGGAAGACTAGTTACTTGTATGACAATAGTTGGCTTTTGTAATGACTTATTTTGTTATATTTAATGTGAAAATTTGTTTTTGTTTTTGCAGTTAAATAAGCTTGTTGAACTATACAAAGAAAGTTCTGAGGAATGGTCCAAAAAGGCAGGAGAGCTTGAAGGTGTGATCAAGGCTTTGGAGGTGATAATTTCTCGGTTAATCTTGTCAGTCTTTATTTTATTTTTTATTTGGAGTTTCTGTACTATAATTTTCTGTGTGCTATCATGCAGACACATTTGATTCAAGTGAAAAATGATTACAAGGAAAAACTTGAAAGGGTAGAGGCTGCAAGAAATCAATTTGAGAAGGTAGATGCGTTTCTTCCCCTATTCCCATTGATGCAAGGGTTTAATATTTTTAAATTTTCATGAGCATAGTTATTCTGCAATTTTTTTGGGTATGATGATATGATTCGAAGTATGCCATAATTTACTTTGTTGTTCTATTTCTGAGAATATATATTTTATTTATCTACTGGTGATGTGATATTGCTCGTGATTGTTTTTTTCCCCTTGTTATAATGTCGTTGGCCCTGTTTATTTTCTCTGGACGTCCAGACAAAAAGGTGTCTTAAGTTTCATTATGGTGTTTAGTTTTTCCCTTAGTAAAGGCAGTGTGTAACAATGTTTCTCTGTTATTTTTGGCCCTTTCGGGTTGTGATGAGTATAGGAAGCAGCAGATCTGAAAGCGAAACTTGAAAAATGTGAAGCAGAAATCGAAGCTAGCAGGAAATCAAATGAGCTTAATCTTCTTCCACTCAGTAGTTTTAGCACGGAAGCGTACGTCCAACTTTATAGTGGT